CTTTTTTAAAAGTGGTCCAATGATAGGCAAAGCCTATTCTGTTTAACAAAAAGTAAAATAGGCCCAACTCATTCTAGAATACTTTTTCATTTTCATTTCAAGAATAGGGTTTTCAAATTTTTCATCTTTGCCGCTACAGTTTTGGCACCTTTTTCACTCTCTCTCTCTCTCTCTCATGGGATGTTCTGTCTCCTATAGGACCTGTCGCTTCACATTAAAAGTAATGATCTTATTTGATTTTCTGTTAGTCACATTATTTTATATTTGATTGGCCGTTGGTTAAATCAAATTTCAGTACTCCCATGGTATGATGTCAAATGCTATACTAAGTCGAATTTGTGATGATGAAAATGATACTATGTTGAATGTTAAATGTATTGCAAACACGGAGATCTACTTTCAATGCAAACTTCATGGTCAAAAGACAATTCAGGTTGCAGATTTTGGTCTTGTCCCATTATCATGTATGTATGTTTATTTCTTTGTGATATTTTAGGAGAATTCATGCAACTTATTTAGATGGAGGGATCGTGAAGATGATACGGTTCGTTATTCTTCGATTGGCGAACAAAATTATGGAGTTGGACACTGTTGATGAAAGTCATATCAAAAGAAGTATCAAATGGGGATGAAAGAGAAGAAAAAGATAAAATGTTGTAGCATCTGGAAGCTAATGTTGGTGTTCATTATTTTTTTTTCCTTGTATTTTTAAGCATTACCAAGAAGAAATTTGTAGAGGATACAAAATTATTGTGTAGTTGTTTACAACCAATACAATTATCATAGTTGTGGAATTAAATATACGTAGTTTTACACTCCTAATCAAACAACAAATTATTATGTAGTCGTGACGGACGAATATTGTGATATACGCTTCAGTTGTAGCAACATATGACTCAAATGTTGCTACATATAATCATTCGTAGCAACTTATGGTTCACATGTTGCTACATATAATCATCAGTGGCAACATATGCAACAAATAATGCTACATGCGAATCATCTGTAGCAACATATGCCACATGTCGTGACGGACGAATGTTGCGATATACGCATCAGCTGTAGCAACATATAGCTCAAATGTTTCTTCATAAAATCATCTGTAGAAACATATGAATCAAATATTGCTACATATAATAAAATGTATTAACATATGACTCAAATGTTGCTACATAAAATCATCTGTAGAAACATATGAATCGAATGTTGCTACATATAATCATCTGTAGCAACATTTTATTCAAATATAATTACCTATAGCAACATATGATTCAAATGTTACTACAGATAATCATATGTTGCAACATATGTCACATGTTGTGACGGACGAATGTTGTGATATACGCATCAGTTGTAGCAACATATGACTCAAATGTTGCTACATATAATCATCTGTAGCAACATATGGCTCAAATGTTGCTACATATAATCATCTGTAGCAACATATGTAACAAATGTTGCTACAGGCTAATAAACTATAGCGACATATGTCAAATATTGTGACAGACAAATTGATAAAATAAACATTGTCTTTGATTACATTGTCTTTAAGATAAAATAAAATAACATAATTGATAAATTAAAAATTGTCTTTAATTACAAGCATAATGTCAAGGCTTTAAGCTTTGAGATATTATCCCATAAGCCCAAATATATTGCATCCGTTCAATTAGATTGTCACATAACAATGAATTGGGTGGATGCAATTTTGTCACCACTTCTTTTTCAGCAACAGAGGGACACATATAAATATTCAACTTTTTATACTCTTTCACCACTTACTCCATTAAGGCCCTTGGAATTTCTCCAAACATCTTCCTTTTCAAATTTTGCATTGTCTTGGCAAATGATTCTTTTCTTCGCTTGGCCTTTGGATTATATGCATGTCGCATATTCTTTGATACAATGCGCTTCACACCCCTCTTGTTTATTAATTCATTGACAACTTCACTCAATTTTTGTAGATACATGATAGAATCTTCATCATTTTTCTTAAACTTCTCACAGAGAAAATCACAACATCGTTTATAAGAGGTAGCCCATTCGTGTTTTCCTGCACCAGCAACACCATCACCACCAGCATCATCAACACCAGCACCATCATCAGCAGTAGTACCATCAAAAACAACTAATTCATTAATGACTTCATCGGGAACTCTCTCTCTTTTGATGGTTGTTGCTCCATTCAACACCATTTTAACTCTATTCAGAATAGGATCAAAAATGGTTTCAACCTACCTAGATTTATTAGATATGGCATTTGCAATTTCTCTTCTGTTGGGATAATCCATGGATGGACAACCTAAAATTATAAAAATGAGTCATCAGTAAGAATTATCTATTGCTACAGATGAATTGTCTGTGGAAACATGTGTATCAAATGTTGCTACACATGAATCATCTGTAGCAACATGTGTCACATGTTGCAACACATGACTCGTTTGTAGAAACATGTGACACAAATGTTGCTACAGACGAATCATGTGTTGCGACATGTGCCACAATATTACTACAGATGAATTATTTGTAGCAACATGAATCATTTGTAGCAACATGTGTCACATGTTACAACACATGACTCGTTTGAAGCAACATTTCTGGCACATACCGCAATAGATTATTCATCTGTAGCAACATTTGTGGCACATGTCCCAACACATGATTCGTATGCAGTAACATTTGTGTCATATGTAGCAACAGATGAATCATCTGTAGCAACATGTGGCACAAATGTAGCAACATATGCCTGTAATATAGTAATAATAACTTATTTCATCAAAAGGAGGGTTAAAAAGATCTGGAATATGCCCTTCTTTGGTATTTTTTTTTCTTACCATCAACCATCTCATCATCCTTGGGGATGATCTCTCTTTTTTTACAATTACTTGATGGGTCAAATAAGGAATGGTTTCAAATGCCCAGGCCTGTAAAAAAAGAAAACTTGTTAATGATCAAATGTTACATTATTACTTAATATAATATAAAAATATTAAAAACATTCAGTTTTACCATGAAAGCCCATGGAAACCCAAACAAGTTACTGGTCTTTTCTCCTAAAGGCCTCAACGTGTAGTCGACAGTTAGATGAAAGCTCTCATGACCCCACGGATAATTCTTGAAAGCTTCAATATCTTGACAGAAATTGACATATTTTAAAAGTATGTTGTTTCCTGAATCCTTCGGCAAAAGTATATTATGTGTAAACCAAAGTAAGCACAATGACTCCTTGTGCTTCCTTGTGGTATCCTCCCGTTCCAACAAACTTAATAATTCAAAAATTTTAAAGCTTTTGCCAACAATGGATATCGAGTCCTGCTCCTCAATTGGCAGTGACTATTGTCCTGCTTCTTTTACTTCTTTAACTACTTTCTTTCTTCATGGTTCTGTTTTAAAAATGTATTCAGCGATGGGCTCAACGGGAGGATGACATTTTAGCCCTGTAACTATGGCAAATCTCTTATGCCAAAGAAAACTAGCATGCCACAATAATTAATTAGAATCTCATCCTTCTTATTGGGATTTTCCAAAATGAACCTTCTTTTCAAAAGTTCATACACGGTGATCATTTGAAAACGTGGAAGTGAATCAATGGGTAAATCAAGAAAATGACCAAAACAACTATTTCTGAAAAAATCTTCCAATTGATTTCTCTTGAGGATATCCTTGAATTTGACGAAAGGTCTTCCCAAGACTGACCTAATAATGTTTCCACCATTAGCATCAGGTTGCAGATGCACAGGGAAAGTGACTGCATTGATGATTTTAATCTCATCATCACCAGTAGCATTGAACTCTTCATGAAGTTCTTGTTCTTCTTCATGGACTTCATTTATTTTTCTTGTTGTACCACAACTACTACTTATGTATTTTCCCCTTGTTCTTCCTGAACTTTCTGTATTTTCCTTGTTCCTCAACTTCTTCTGGTTTTTCATCCTCTTCCTCCACTACTTGTCTTTGTTCATACTCCTTTTGACAAAATTCTACTTCTGCTTGAGAAGAAGAAACTGGTTCAGTTGCAAGATTTTCTAAAAGTGTAGTATTTTTGTTCCTCTTCCTAGCGATTTTAGACATAGCCTTCTTCTAGATCTTTGTTTGGTCAGATGCAATATCAAGTTTTCTTTTGACATAAGCCATTATATTTGTATCTGCAACCACAAAAATAAAATATTGAAAGCCCCAAAATGAGCTACAACCACAAGTCAAAACAGGGCAATAAGGAGATAAGCAAGCAAATGCATTTCAAACCCTAATTAAATATTACCTGATAAGATATTTATCAACGATAAAGTAGAAATTATGAGGAAAACACAACACCGCCTTTGTTGTAGAAGATGATCTGTGAAAGAAGGAAGAGAAGAAGAGAAGAGAAGAGAAGGAGAAGTGTACTGTACTGGCAAAGTATAAATAAATAAATTTTGGAATACGAAATGACACATTTATAGAAGAGAGGAGAGAGGAGGAGAGAGGGGAGAGGAAAATAAAAATTAAAGTCGTTTACTTTTTTTTAATTAGGACAATTCAAACTGTGACATATGTTGCCACATATGGACTATATGTTGCTACATATATACGGTCTGTTGCCACACATAATTTTATCGTGTTTATTACTACAGAAATTACATATGTTGTGACGCATATACTATTTGTTGCTACAGATGATTTTCTTTGTTGCCACATATAATTTTGATCCTTTCCATCATAATTGACATTTGTTTAAACAAAATCCAAATAATCATAAAAAATATTTTAATATATCACCACTTATCTAATCAATGGTTGTAAACACAACATTTTAATCGATCTTACCTTTTTTTTAGATCTACGCATCTCTGGTTCTTCATTGTACCTAACATAACCATTTCGAGCCTTTACAATCCCATAATTCCATAGGAATGAAGCATATCTCAAGTGAAGGGTGTCAGCACTACTTCCGCATGATGGTACTTATAATCTATCACTCAAATACTCAGCGTATGCAGCAACACAAATTCCACAATCTCTGTATGGTATATCATCAATCAAAAAATATAATAACATCACATTTCGATAGTCGTACGACAAAATAATATTATGATACTTACAGAAAACTGCTTTCTTGTTGGGCAATACCAGTAACATGACTGACTTTGAATGGGTGAGATTTGTTCTCTCCTTGTAACATTTAAGAACTGACCAGTTGGTTCCCTTATTTTGCTCAAAAAGTCCACTCAACTCAAGGTACTTTGGCAACATTGTAGTAATCTTTTAAATTTTGGAGGATAGTTTTCTATTAGACCTATTTGAGGACATGATAAACACTTTTATGCACCGTTACTTCAATGTAACGACTGCCAAGACCCAATGGAATTTTGCATTACTATTTACAGGGACATAAACATCATCCGTCAAGTGTCAAGGCATTCCAGAAAGTATAGCATACCCTTTCATTATGTCAACGATTTTATCCTCATATTCACTAGAATTGTCAATGTATGTTTAGAAAAAAACAACTAGTGATGGTATATTGATATTTACAATGAATCTGCTGCTTCGACCTCTTTCGCAAATAGTAAAATATGACATCCACATACTGCACACATAGATGAAACAAGTGTATCAATTCAATTGTATATATTCATGTACTAAACAATACATATAAAAGTGGGCATGGATTTACCTCATCATTCCAGCACCTATTGGGTTGAGACATTACGTAGAACCATTCCATATTCATTGAAAATGCAACTACTAAATCAAGTTAGTCAAATTCAAGTTTTGAGCAATTGGCTAAGTAGTGATCCTCCTTGTTTCCTCTGCAATTGTGTAATCATTATAAATCATTATCTATTGGACAACAAGAAGAAATTCTATAATAGTTGAACGACCTTACTTTACTTACTTTTTTGCATGATGCTTGTAAAGACCCTCGTTTATCCAGTGCGAGAAGGATGACATTAGTTCAGTTGGACCCTCACTGTCAATGTTAAAACCTTCAAATGGATATTGTCGCTTCACATCACAAATGACAACTTCAACTTTCTTCCCTTTCTTTTTTGCTTTCGCTTTTTCTTTCTGCTTCACCTTCTCCTTCTATTTCTCCTTCTGCTTCTCCATCTCCTTTGTCTTCTTCTCCTTCTCCTTCTCCTTCTTCTTCTCCTATTTTGCCTTCTTCTCCTTCTCCTTCTCCTTCTCCTGTTTTGCCTTCTTCCCCTTCTCCTTCTCTTCGTTTGCCTTCTTCTTCCTCTCCTTCTCCTCCTTTGCCTTCTTCTCCTTCTCCTCATTTCCATTCTTCTCCTTTTCCTTCTCCTCCTTCTCCTTCTCATGCTTTGCATTCTTCTCATTTTCTTTCTTCTCAATAATCATAGAAAGTGTTTGAGAAATAGATTTTTTCAACCTCCTACATTTCAAAGGATGTGAAGTCTTCTTGGATCTTTGCACATCAATATTATGAGACATTTCCTTAAAAATATCAATGAGTTTTTTAACATGACTAATAAAATAATCATGTTGCTGCTCATATTCTTCGCATAGACAAAAATAGCATTTCATGTTAGAAGATTGAGTTGTCGCCATGGATGAAGCTTCTTGTATCATTTCATCTACAAGGTAAATAAAAAATATTGAGATTTTACAATTCATTATAAAATAATAATAGCAGTATGTTGCAACTGATGGATAGTTTGTTGCAATAAATTAACATTATGTTGCCACATATATACCTGTTGTTGCGTAACATATTCATCTTATGTAGCAACAGATGCATCATATTTTGACACATCTATACAGATTATTGCAACATTTTAATCTTATGTGGCAACAAATGACCAACAAATCACTAAAATATGGCAACGTACGCTAAATATATTTTGGACGCCTGAACAACACTATATTTCTAAAATCATATCAACAAAATGGCCAAAGAAAAGAACAACAAAAAAAATGACTTTTTACTGAATGATAACATTACAGATACATTTTATCAAAATAAGGATTTTTTGAGTTGGTTGATTTTCTTTCAAAAATGATAAATAATACACACCATTAAGTCTATTATTCTTTTTTTACACCTACAAAACATTTTATTGTTCATTAATCCAAGAAAAACAATTCAAAAAGTGTAAAGTATTTCAAAAAAATAACTTACTCATTTCTAGTCGAACATAATTACTGTTTAGAAAAATGAGAGAGTAATGGAGGACTGGAGAGGAAGAATAACAACTGCAGAGGAAGTGTAACGACGGATTTCTAAATTTCTAAGGAAGAAGATGAACAATATCCCAAGGAAGGAAGAAAAGAAGATAGGAAGGAAGATGAAAAGATTTTTTTTAAAATGATTTGGTTTGAATTATAAAAATGTATTTTTTTGTACTTTATAAAAATTAGAAAATTTTAAAAATATTAATTTGATCCCCTAATTAGTTAATTACATTTTTTAAAAATTTGATCAGTTGTTGATCAATCTATCACCAAAAACAAAAATGAGACTTATTTGATACCTTTTCCTTAATTTTCTCAAGTAACTCGATTGGGGTTAACAAATTAAAGAATAAAAAGTTAGAGAGAGTTCCAGAAGTCCGTTAAGAAGTTGTAAGAAGAAAGTGACTCACTACGCTATTAAACGTAGAGTCCTACCCAGAAAATTTTGGTAAAAAGATGGAAGGGGATAGTAATAAGCAGATTAGAATCAAGCTACTATGTCCTTTAGTATCAAATATGGTAATATCAATCATGGTTTGGGAAGAAGAAAGACTTGATCTTGGTTACATTGCACGCATTTTTGGGCTTAACCCATTAACATTGAAGATAAATGGTCACTTTATAAGTAAAGGGGTTGATTTTATTGCTTCTTCTGTTACATGGAAATCACTACTTTCCTTCTTCTCTGCTCGTGGCTTCTCCACTCACCCACTCATTATTCAAGGAAATCTCTCTAAACTTGGCTCCAAAAGTAAGCATCTTGAACTGTTTCTTTAACTTTTTTGAGTGAAGAGATGCGTTTTAAATTGTTCAATATGTTGGTGAAATTTTGTTCTGATAGTTATATGGAGTCAAAATCTTGGGTTTTCTTTTAGGCTGAGAACTGGACAAGGAGAAGGTCTAATATGGCTATAAACGGTTTAGCAGTCACAATTTGATTTGGTTTCTTATGTTGTGTGTAAAGAATTTGGGTGTTTTGGTCTGAATGAAAATGTACTTATTTCGTACAAGGAAAACAAGAGAGTTTCTTACTATTTTCTAGTGTTTAGTAAGTAGGCAAGAATATGAGCATTTTTATGTTATCTAGCAAACATTAGGTAGGCAGAATGTGATGGGAAGTGGGGGTTCGAGGATGGTCAAGGGATGAGGGTTGAGGATTTGGTGGGTGCGGAGGGGATAATAAACTTGGAATGTCACTTGTGCAACTTGTTTTTCGTTAGGACTTATTTGTGACTTCAAAAACATAAGATGACTTGTTTGTTTATTTGAATAGGTTTACCTAAGCTCTGGATGGAAACCAATTATGCGACCATTCATTGCATAATATAAAATTTATGATTAATGGATTGATCCACTAAATAATATGACTATATATCCATGTTTTGGTCCAGCTATTACGGTTTACACAATGGCTGATGTTCTTAAGTGTGCCTACTCTGCAAGCTAACTTGTGCGGACTCTTAACTTCCAAAGTCATGCCCCTGTCAAATTCTCCAAAACTATACTACTTTTGGAGAATCCGACATGCACCCACTGACATTTTGATGAGTTCAACCAGCATAGTCTGCAAGTATCTCCTGCTCTCTGGTTTGGGCAGGAGAAAAGAATATTTCTTGAACCCGCGATGAAAAGGAAAACTGAGTACACAATTGCATGCCTTTCTGCACATCAGCTTTTCAACTACTAGTCTTTCTGCAGAACTTCTCGTTAGGTCTATTAGCTACTGCCTAACCAGTTGAAGGTTGATTGGTGAATAGTAGGTGAAAAGATAGTAGGTTTCAAAGATTTATTAATATCGTTTTGGAAGGATGGATCACCTGCTCCCCCTACAGTCTGAGATCCCCTGTTGCAGCTTGCTCTCATAATATATCGCAGAATCAAGCTTTTGAAGCTATTGAGTAGTAGTATTCCTTCAGTATATCACGGAAGACTTCTAAGGACTATTTATTGTTTATTGTGGTTAACCTATTGACCTCCCACCACCATTCTCTGCATATGAACCATGTTTCAAACTATTCTTCTGTTATTGTGCAGGATCACATAGTCCAACACTAGTTGAAAATGGGTTGCTCTGCAAGAAGGATCTCAATGATGAGAGAGAGAAATGTCATGAGGAGACCAACTCCCTCAGTAACAAGAAACTCAAGGAAAGCACAAGAGGTAATGACAGACTATACAACTTTGCTTGTGCAGGAGTAGCATTGAACCTAAAAAGGAAGCTTTGTTTGGAAGGTTCGGGTCTGTTGAAGAGATCAAGAACAGATGAATATGATTCAGGTTTGTTACTATGGAATTGGCTTAATGGTGCCTTAATATTATCTCAATCTTTGAGCTCATGTTCCACATTAGGAAGCTCAATGTGAACTGTTGTACTCTTATCTCTTCTTCTCATATCACCGTGGTTATTCCTGGTGTATTTTCAGGTTTAAGAGAGGAACGAGTGGAATTTTCAAACGCTGATAGACCACTTTTATGCAATTTAGCTAGTGAAAAGCTGAAAAGGTTTAGAGATGATGAGATGGTTGTAACCACCCCATTCAAGAGGATACGATAATTGGGCCAAACACAAAGTTGTGTTAGTTAGGTAGTTGTATATTGAAGTTACAGTTACCATGTACTCACCTGTAAATACTTGCCAATCGGTTAAAGTAGTTGCTGACACAAAAGTTTCAAATTGCAACAGCATTTTTTGAGTTTTGTCAAAGTAGATTATGGCTTGTTCTATGTAGTTTCCGATGGGCAACATGTCCATTTACCTTTTCTAAATGCCTACATTATTCAGGGTACAGTTAAATTTGTGGTATTTGAAGACCACATAACCACATCATTGTGGTATCAAGCCATCCAATTTCATAAGCAAGTCCTTCTCACAAGATTCAAAGCAACTTTTAGAAGAGCAAAAGTGTATGAACTTGTACATCTAACCTTCCTTTTTGAAACATTTCTTAGTTACAAGATCGAAAATTCTGGTACCTGATAACAAATGAAGTTGAGGATGTCCGATGCAGGAATCAGACACGAAAAAAAAAAAGGAACTGGCCATAGTGGTTGACAATTAATTTGGATGATACAATGCAGAATCCTAAACAAGGGAGATTTTGTTTGATTGATGAAATCTATGCTCTAAGTCCCGTGGCAATCATGTAACATATAGTACAAAACTTCTTTCTGTAGCTTCATTTGGAGGTCATCCATAGAAGTACTGCCAAGCAGCAGCAATACCAGCCACCAGTATCACTCTGAGAATCAGCTTATAACTGACTTTTGATGAAGAGGATGGGGGCGGTGGTTCCAACGGTTTTCCTCTCAATTTAGCTGATAACTTGGACAGTAGCACGCCTATCGGACCACTGGGCTTGGCAGCTGTAAGCACGCAGAAAAGAAAGATCGAGATCAACATCTGAAAGACTCACTTAATTACCCAATCATATATCAAACAACTTCATTCAAGCTAGTTGGTGTTAGCTATAAGAATACTGTCTATATCCTTGTCCATTTCATTAAACTGCTAAACAAAACTAGTATCAAGATCAATATCTGAAACGCTAACTTAAGCTTAACCTTATCTCAGCTACAATTCCACATCAAATTAACTGTGCAAGGCTTTAAGCTAAAAGGATTCTCTCTATTTATTTTATTCTAATCGTATCCATTTCATTCAACTACTACATAATTTGTAGTTTAAGAAAAATTAGGATTCTGTAGGACTAAGGATTCTCCAAATGGCACCCTTAACCCTACGATGACATATCAGAATCGATTCTTGGGAAACACCAAGACTGTAAGTTGAACAATACAATAGCCCAAATTCCAACAAGTTGGTAATAGATCTTTTGCTTTCATTACTGGAACTAAAGATATTAGGTCGACTGCGTGAAGATAAATATACATCCATGCAAATCCAACTGAGACTGACTACTTTCACCATTCAGTAGAATCCCAGTGAAATGTGCAGTTAAATTTTCAGAATTATAACATCTTAGTCTTTACCAGAGAAAATTTACCTTTATTTTTCAGAAGCCTCTCCTCCTCATCAACACGCCTACGTAACGCATTAAGCAGTGATCCAAAATATAGAGCAAATACAGTGCATGTAATCGTGATGACATTGTATGGCATGCTAAAATCAGGAGTGGTCAAGGGTACAAGCAGTACTTCTGTGTACCATAGAACAGGGCTTTCTTCCTGAAAAGAAGCAGATGCTCAATATAATGCATATCCAATACAATATCATACAACATCAGAGCTGCACTTGTTTAAAAATTGGTACCTGTAGCTTGGATAAGATAGGTGACTTGCAAGCAGATTTATCCTCAAATAAATCCATCTTTGTTTTGATCCCAGGAAACCTGATTAAAGCTGATGGAATGTCAAATCCCTGGTTAGCATCTGGAGGATACTCATCGATGTGCAGAAAACCCTGTGAAGGAATCCAGAGAAATAAAGGTAATGTTAAACGATTTTCAGTCTATCACTAAAGTTAATATGCATGTTGCTTTCTACCAGTCACATTAGATTCAGTTCCACATAGATACAGGAGTAGAAATAAAAGAGATCACCTTTATGTTTCAACCATCCCTATCCCTTGCCCAGACAAAATTACAAGCTAACCACACAAGCGGATATAAAGAAGTTTAGAAGTTGAAGACGACAGAAAGACCTGATAGCATCTGATATCCTTTCAACTTTTAAGGTACTTTGTCACTCCTCCATGTACAAATATTTTCATGTGAAACCTGCTTGGGCCACAAAGATTACGTCTATACATACCAATCTCTCTCCTATACAACTACTCCTAAATGAGATAATTAGATAGCTCGTTTTGAGAAGAGCTTAAGAAATATAATGAGAAGATTAGATAGCTGTCCTATCTGACCACTGTTCTTTGATATTGGCAATCAAACTCCAATCTCAATAAAACTTAGATTTTAGCAGATTTATTCTAGACAAACTGTAAAAGGGGATAGGTACCTTATCAAACTCCAATGTCAATATCACCGAGTGCACATCACATGGCAACCGCAATGCTATTTCCATTAGCCCAGGGGAAACCTTGTCTTCAGAAGGCGAAACGTTTGTCCTTTCTACAACATCTGCTAAACTGTGAAGACGTTCATCTAGAAACACTTTAAGTGTATGGTAATAAACCTTGACATACCAAGGCACTACTTGGAATACATCAACACGTAACAAGCATCTTCCTTCCTCGTTGACAGAAGATTTTGCATACTCACTTCTACCTACAGACTTCAAGGAGATGGCTATGGCACCCCTTTCATTCCCACTTCCCATAAGGAACCTGCGAGCCTGCAAGGGTGCCAGTTGAGATGACCAAGTCACGGGACGCTTCCACCTGAACTCCAAGTCGAATGGCCTTGAATCACTATAATTTTCTAGAGAAAATTCATATAGAAGGGATGACTCCTTCAGAAAGCCATTAGCTTCTTTAATTACCCTGACTGCGGACTCAGACATTTCAAAGCTCATGTCACTCCAAGCTTCAGATATCAAATTCCCAACATCAGATTGCTGTTGCGTCTCTGAAGTAGTCTTCAATTCAGACACCAAATCCGGCTCTAATTGGACATACACATTACTAGCATTTGAAAGAACACACCTTCCACTTACTTTTCGTCCAAACAATGTGCTCAGTGACCAACTTGGCTGCTGTATTGAGCCAACAGATGATGTCATGCCACTTCCTAAAGTAACCGGTTGGAGAACAACAGTAAGTGTCTGTTCAAGCACCATTCCAGAACTTGCTGCAGCTAGATCAAATTCATTTGAGATTAAATGCAACCTCTGAGAGTGATAAAATCCTCTGTAGATAGAAGGTCTGTCCATCAATGCAGAAAGTCCAGCTTTGTCTCGGCAAGGAAGCAACTTTAGCCAGGGAGTGAGGTTCTCTGTGCAAACAGCCTCACGGGGCAAGGTGCCATATCTGATATTTGTAGCAAATGACTTGAAGCTCCATTGAGGAGAAGAATAAGCAGTTGATGACTCTAGGAAGTTAATAGAAGCACAAAAGAGCCCTGAAAGAGCGTGTGTTAAATTTCTCCACGAAGCGTCGACCTGATGTTGTGGAACATCAAAAGTAGCCCAGAGTTCAACTCCAGGAGGCTTCGCATTTCTACTTGAAATGGGATCATATCCACCCCAGCGTGCATAATTCCAGCGACCTTGTGTGAACGACAGCTCCATTTCTTGAACTCTAAATTTATGGACCTAATTACACAGTGAGTGTTATGTTTTCATGCAACCAACTGCTTGTCATGAATGAGAAAAAATAACAACCTAGAGCATGCAAGAAGCATTCAGACAAAAACTCACGCCACCTCACTATTTATTAGTGGTAGGTAAGTACACAATATTTTTAAGGATTATAAAAGATAAACAATTAAAACCATAATTGCAACTTTCCTTTTCATCATCCTATCTTAATTACCACAATTCCCCTGTTCTACAGAAGTTGCATTTGTATACAATGATTAACAGTTATCATATCCGTTACGGAAAGATACCCATCTTTGATATTAATTATCTAGATAGAAGACAATCATAATATATCATCCACCAATCAATTAGTTATGTCTCCATCCCTAACTAGTTGGGACTGGCCACATGAATGCCCTGTATCCCTTCTGCTCCATTTGGTCCCATTTCATTCTAATACTAAATGATTGGCCTTTTAAGGTACATTATGTCTTCCTTACAGTTAAAAGTTCTTAAATCTCAGGCCTATCTCTACACATTTATACTGATAAAAAAAACTGGGAAATAATGTAAATATGATACCCTTAATTCCAACTAGTTCGTATTACTTCCATTGTGCTATGGTTTCAGCTAAGTAAGCATTGATTCTAATTTTCTGAGATATACCTACAGAACTAAAAATTGACATTATCGTTTCAAATAAGAAGATTATTAAGAAACCGAAAATGAAGAAAAAGAGATTGATGCATCCAAAAGTGTACCAGCTGATAAATGGATTTGGGGAAAAGGTGGTGGTGGCTGCCATGTGTTCGAGTTGGTGGGACTTTACTTTCGAAATGAAAATGAGCAAGCACTTTACGATCTGGCAATGGCCTCAACAAGAGTGCTTCTGAGAACTGTTCAATTTGATCTTCCTCTTCGGCAATAATTGACCCGAAACTCTTAAAGAGCAGAAGAAAAAGCAAAATTGATCTTAACCGAACCATTAATGGAGCTCCTGTGTTATCGTTGATATTGAAACTGGGAATATGTGAAAGATAAATCGAACAATTCCGCCATTACAAGAGCTTCAAGGTGTGTTAAAACTTAGATCAAAGGTTTGAACAATTTTGGATCCATGGGGTTTTTGGCTGGTTGACCCGTTTAGACTTGTGCTATATTAATTCGTCGATCCGATCCCATTTGGTTCTTTTTGCTTATATACTAATCTATTCTTACATTCTCTTTTAAAATAAACGGAAAAAGCTAAAAAAATATCTTGAACTATCAGAATTAGCTCACATATATCCTTAATCTAAATTCTCGATCAAAAATACTCTTCTATTAAAGTATTGGATCATTTTACCTTTACTTTTGACAGAGGTGTGTTAAATGTCACATAAGTGCCAAACAACCTTACCTCCACATAGACTCATAAAATCTAACTTACTTATTTTTCCCTCATTTCTCTAATAAAACAATTTTGACTCATTCTTATTTCTCTAAAAAATAATACGATTCCCCTTTCTTTCTCATATATGATTTTCCCTCTCTCTTATACGATTTCTCCTAGTGTTTCACAAATTTTCTCAGCATTTAGTAATGGAATGGTATCAAATACATCGAAATAGCCGTCAGTAACATTACTCATCAGTAAGTAATTGTGCAAATGAAACTCAATCGCATAAACAAAAAAGAAGAAGCAACAACTAGTTGTTTTCGGTACTAAAATCAAGAGCTGATCACGTAATAAGTAGTTTCAAATTGTAATTCGTATCATTAGCGATTGGAGTACCAATGGCAGAGGAAGAGTTGACTTGGAGAGAGTTGGCGGACATTGTTGGTGATGAATGCTTCAGGAGAGCGGAAGTTGAGAGGTTGGAACGGAAGAAAGTGAGGTTGAAGTTGGAGGTTTGAAGATGGCAGCCAATTCAATGGCGTCCATGAGAGGAAATTTGTGAAACCTTAGGAGAAATTGTATATGAGAGAGGAAAATCGTATAAGAGAAAGAAAGGGAATCGTATTATGAGATAAGAATGAGTGAAAATTGTATCTATTAGAGAAAAGACGGAAAAATTAGTGATTAAGATTTTATGAGTCTACGTGAATGTGAGGTTGTTTAGTGCTTATGTGGCATCCACATGGCGTCAATGTGGCACTCAACACACCTCTGTTAAAAGTAAGGGTAAAAGTGACCCAATACTTTAACAGAAGGGTATTTTGGAGCCAAAATTTAGTTTAAGGGTACATATGAGTTATTTCTGATAGTTTAAGGGTATTTTTGAGCCTTTTCCGTAAAAAAAAGAGTTAGAAATACTAATTTTGAGATAAAAATAGTCTCCCCCTTGTAAATAAATAATTTTTTATTGTATTTTATCACTCGTGAGGAATAAAAAGCACTCTCTATTTTATTCATCTGCTTATTTTATTATTTCATAATATGTTATCGATTGAATTAGTTTGGGAATTGGATAAAAGTGCAACATGATCGAATATTTGCTATCTAATCGTTATAAAAATATCACTTACTTCATTAATTATGTATCATAGTTATAAACTAAATGATACATAAAAATTTAAATTAGAGAAAAATATCATTACCCATTTATTGATGAGTGATAATCAATACGTTACTATCAACGATAAATAATAATGGTATCGAGAATAAAAATACTTAATACCTTGAAAATTTTTGAGCTACAAACATAGGATGTGTGTGTAGAGTATTACTCCAAATTCTTTTTTGTTTTTAAAATTTTGTGATCGAAATTTACATATTATTTCTTGATTTAGAGAAATCAATTTATGATTTTTTTCTAAATTGTTTTTGCCTCCTATGTCGTTGAAATAGATAGCGGTCGTATTTTATTACTCTAGCTGAATAGAAAGTGGACATATAGAAAGACCATATAATACTTAAATGGTCCACATGTAGGTGAATATGCCCACATATATCACTTTGTATTTGTTTAAAAAATGTGGGAGATTTCACTTCAACCTTAGCTACAACTGGTTTGATAACCAACTTTTTTTTGGAACAAACAGTGTAAGGGAATTTCTTTGATTAGACAACATTTTGGTTCTTCAAAGTATGTCCATGTGAATTCTCAAGTATTCTGCGCATTATGGTATTATTGGGATGACCCAACTGGTCATGACAAATGATAAAATCATTAGAATCAGTAAATATTTATGTTACTACGACATGTGACTAGTGGCAGATTTAAAATTTCCATTACGGTGGTTCAGAAGAAAAAAAAAAGTAGTGCCTAAGATTCAAACTTGGAATACCACTAAGTCAATCCCTAATTCTTTAGCAAGTTTAAAATCAATATATAAACATAAAAATTCTTTAAAATTTTTGAATATGCAATTTTTCACCAAGGGGATTTGAGTGAAACCCCTCGACAACCTCTAAGTCCGCCCTGCATATGATTCAACCATACCAATATTTGTATGGTACAACCTAGAAGAAAGTGCAGACAATATTTCATGCACATTTTTCTTTTTCGCATTATCGTAGTAATATAAAGGTATTCCACCTGTTCGAAATAAATTTTCACAAGCGCTGAAAATTAACTTCAAGCAAAATAAATAAAAGATGATGTGTTTTTATTGATGAATTTTGTGAGTACAATTATGTGGTTCTCTTGATTCTTCTCTCCTAAGTTTCTTCGTGATTCGAGGTCCTTCATTAGCGTATTTCTCGAATGTAGGATGATGTAGACCTCCTTAAGATGTATTTGATCTATGAAAACGTCGGGAAGCACTTCGTCGTTGCAAGTTGATCCCCGGGAAGAAATCAGTTGATCACTCCTTTGAAGAGATATGTAGTTGATAATATAGCTTATGTTGACCTCCTTGAGATGTATTTGATCTCTTGGAACGTCGAGAAGAACTTCATTGTTGCAAGTCGATCTCCGTGAAGAACTCAGTTGATCACTCCTTCAAAGAGTTATGTAGTCGATTTTGTAGCTTTCTCCAATTGCAGAATGCTTGTTGAAGAATTTTCTTCCCCCCTTAGAATGTCATGTCTATCCCATATTTATAGTTGTAGGGAGTGGACAAGGTTGCTTGTAATTGGTCAAAGAATGTCATTTTGACACTTGACCTTTGTGATTCATTCTTGCATTTGACTGGGACTACCACCTCATTTGAACATGTAGCTTCACCTTGTTGGTCTTGGATGCCTAGTCACAGTGACATGTGGCATGGGATTGGGCTTCAAGATGAAATGGACATTGGACTTGAAGTAAATAAAAATGGACTTATTTGTTTGTAAAGTCCAAATTAATCCTTCAATCCAAATAAACATGAATATAACCCAAATATCGGATGAATTAAATCCAATAAATTTATGTGTCTACACCACCTATTCTTTGATTGCGGTGTCGGCATGTTAGTCATTTTGGTGAATAACGTTGAAACTTAACAAGTTTCTTTTAGACTTACTACAATACGTTGCATTATCAATTACCAATAATGTTCCTTCAGGTAGTAATAAGTCGTTCTTCCATAGCCCTCAATCAATTTTGTACTATCGAATATTATATTAACATATATATGCCTTTTTCATAATCAAATGAGAGAAATATTGATTGTGTTATCGTATGAGTTGTGACACTATTCAGAAGGCACATATCTCCATTACTCATCTTGGGTTCAACTAAAAATTAGAAAATGTTCGTAAAAGCAAAAATACATAATAAAAAGTATGCAACTTAACAAAAGAAATTTTAAGAGCATAAAATTTAAGTAAGATTAAAAACAAATAACAACATTATTCATTTCCCAATTCAATTATCAATCTGCAATTGTGATTCCTAAAGAAATCATCAGCTTCTAGATAAGTAATATCATCGAGCCCATCAAAAACATCATCTTTCAGTGCTACATTTGATTAAACATTCTCATCATATTTTTTAGAAAATCTTACATATGCATCATCTTTGAGAGTCACATATGACTCCACTCGGGCATTGGAAGAGAAGTCATTGACTTTGTCTCTTTTTCTTTAGAGGAATTTTGACACAGACCGATACTCATTTTTTGAGTGACTTTTAAGTTAACAATGATGATAGTTATCACCCTTTCTTTTAGAAGGATTATTTTGAAAGCTCATGTTGTTCTCCCTTTTGTTATGAACACCACATCGACGATTATTATATCATCTTTTTCCCTTGCCATGTCACACATATTATCATGACCTCAATTACTTTATCTTATTTAGACTGGTCGTGTGCTTATAACTTGTTGCTTCCAGTAATGGAGCACATCCAGTGGAATGAGATTCATGATTTCTCATTAAAAGAGTGTTATGTTGCTCTGCCACCGAAAGACATGAGAACAATTTAGAGTATTTTTGAAAACTTTTTTCAAACTACTGCTGTAGTATCACATCAGAGGCATGGAAAGTAGTTAATGTCTTTTCCAACATGTCCTCATGATTTATAGTTTTCTCACATAATTTTAGTTGGAAAGTGATTCTAAATACAACAGAGTTATACTCAATTACGATTTTATAATCTTGAAACCATAAGTACATTCACTCATAACGAGCCCTTGGCAATATAGTTGCGTTAAGGTGGGCATACCACCCTTTCAAACCTATCCAGAATTCAAGTGGATCTTTAACTATCAAGTATTCAACCTTCAGAATTTCTTCAACAAGATCACGAAGAAAAATCATAGCTTTTGCTTTATCCTGACTTGATGTCTTATTTTCTTCGATTATATTATCAACAAGATCCATAGTGGTTAAGTGAATTTCAGCATCAACTATTCATGACAAATAGTTCTTTTCATAAATGTCAAATGCTACAAACTTAAGCTTAGACAAGTTCGACATGATGAAAACTATCATAAAATGATTGAGTTATTATGTTGATGTTGGTTTCTTTATAATGAATGATAAATTAATGTTCAAATAATAAAGTAAAAGATGACTATAAATTATAGGCTTAAGTCATTTATAACCATTTAAAGTTGTCCACATAATTCACTTAGAAACTTAAATTCAGATTTGTACCTATTGAACACATTTACCCCGTAGAATTTGAACCGTTTGAACATTTTTTCAACAATCAACTAAAAGTATCAAATGAATCAAATACACTTGCGGATGACGTGACACTTTGACAAATTAAATAATGACATGTGTTATTTGGATCTCATTAAATTATTTTAAACTGTAATATAATC